CATTCCATCACGTACATAAACAGTGTCGTAATTCGCCAAGTGCAAATCAGCAAATTCGTAAAATTTTTGTTTATTTTGAACAATCCGGATAATCGAAAATCCGGATAATGGAGGTCCGGATAATGGAGGTTCTACTGTAAATAGTTTACTTTAAAAATGCTTAGTAATGTACAATTTTTATAATTTAACTTAATAATTAATTAATTTAGTCATTTCATTATTAAAAAATGTCTTTCAGAGAGTATTAAATAACAACTTTTAAGTTTTTTTTAAGACTATATCAGAGTTGTTTGTTTTTCTTGTCTTTTTACATCTAAAAAAGTTTTGGTAAAGATCCACATATTTTAACATCATTCTCCTAATCACATAGCTAATTTTATGTCTGGATCATCACTATCATTATCATCATTAAAAATTATAAGAAAGGATTCAAGATGATGATAAACCTTTTTTATTTTTGTTTACATATAATTTGACAACCTGGTAGAAATTAATTATGGAGGAAACTGATATTTCTTCTATTTTCCAACTGTAGCAATTTTTCATTACTCACTTCAACTCAAGATTTAAAAATTTTCAAATTCCTTCCTTAATTTAATCCATGTCAGCTCTTCAGGTCATCTCGATACTGTCCTTAATGACTGTGGTAATTATATTATTGATAATAGAGCTTTTACATTTATTAGAGAAGTTCTATTACCAATAACGGGATTTTGGTTTCAGAACAGAATCAAAAAGATAAAAATATTTTCCCTTTGGTAGTCAAAGATAAGTGATTGGTAGAAAATTTAGAGAGATGTATATTATTATATATTGATTCTATCACATCCATGCATACAAGTATATCTTAAATTTTAAGAGTAGGCAACTAATATACATACACTCATATTCTGAATTATTAAAATAAATAATTTTCATTAAATGAAAATTAAAGGATTAAGAAGTCAACTAGTAATATTTTATAGTAACACATAGTAGGACTGTTTTGCAGAGCTGGGACTAGTCCTATTCTATGAAATAGTCCTGTATGCTGTATGAGTTAGTGATAGACGAATGTCCTATCCATGAAGAACAGACAAGTCATTGGATTGCATAGCATTGAAATTGTATCAAAAAAACTTTCATAAAAAAAAAAGAATGCATAGTATATTGTAGTTTGTCTTTAGATAGAATTTAAGTGTTATATACATTTCCAGAACATATATTAAATTTGGTAAATCTCTGATTACAGTATTAAACAAAATAATTTGTTAATAATTGAAGTTGGAATATAATAAAAAATAAAAAGATTCAAGTCAAGTTTCCTAAAAAGCATGGTGTTTTAAGTCCTAAACTAATAGCCACATATGTAGCTCTATATGACAAACGAAAGTAGAAAAAATGACAATAAGCTATTATAATAAATAAATAAATAAATAATTTATGTCTAAAGAAAATTTATGGATAAGTACCAATTTCATTCATTGTTCTGTTGTTACATTAGTTTCTCATTTAAGAATTACATATTATAAATTGTAAATTTAATTTAATTGATTAACTTAATAAATCTGAAAAAGTTTTATATTTGCTTTATAGGTGAAACTCAACGTGTTTTAAGGTTGAGTCTCGATGAATTTTCCTTACCCAAATTTTACCTACTTTTTGGCATCAGCAAAGTAAAATCTGCTGCTGTCACCGCATTCCGTTCTAATTATCGACATGGTGATCGTCACTTAGATCGCTGCTTTGCCTGTTCTTCCACAGATCAAGAACGTATGCCATTGTCATCACTGGAAATTATTACAGATGCACTCTTAGAAATCTTGGAGGTAAAAATAAATTCTTTTAAAAATTCATAATATTATTGAAATATACTGAATTCTAAATTTTTTGAAATGAAAATATTCATTTGATATTTTGTAATGAAAGGAATTATATTTGCAGAGTTCCAAACATGGCTACTTTTTAACAAACTATTGCTTTTAATAATTATACACACACACACACACACACACACACACACTTTTGTAACAAAGTTATTCTTTTGTTAAATTTCTGGTATAGTTTGGTGAAAAAGTAGTAAAAGTTGGCCATCTTATTAAGAAGCTATGATACAAGACCTAATTAATCCATTTAAATTATTGTTTTTCATAAATTGTTTAACACTAGGTTCTTTTAAATTTTTTTTTACTGGTGGAAAAGATTTATATTTATAAGATTTTGACTTATGAGAAGTTTTGAGGAATGGTGTTGTAGCTTGCAAAGTTGGGGTCACACTGTATTTAGTGTTTAAGATTTTGATATGTTAAAACATTTAGTTTGTTCTTCAAAAAATTGAAAAAATATATAATATTGAATATTAACACACAGTCTGTAATAGTTAGCTACTAAATAGTAATAAATACAAAAGCAATAACATATAAAATACATAAATGGTTTTTGAAACTCTCATAAATAGAAACATCTTGCATACACATAAAAAAAAACTAAAGATTGTACAATGAAATAATTTGATATAATGAAAAATAATTTTAACAGAAATATTATAACGTTTTATAGAAATACTAGCTACAAGGACCCGCTTCACTGGGTTTTTATTTGTTCGTACATTTGTATGTAATATAGTTTTTTTTTAATATATATATAAAAGACTGTTTTTCTAAGTAATCTAGAATCTAGCTGCAAGGACCCGCTTAGCTGGGTTTTTATTTGTGGGCAAAAAGTAACGATAGTGAAGATTAAGATAATTACATTATAGCCAATCTTACCCGTTTTCACAGAATGCAAGAATTAGGTCCCCCGTTTTCAGACTAATTAGAGAATTTTTACATGAGTATAAAAATATGTTCGATTTCCCGCAAAAACGCAAAAAACCGCCTGTAAATCTTGCATGCCGCTTTATATTAACACTTCCTTTGTTACTCAACACTTCTATTGTTAACATTTCCATTGTTAACACTTCCATTGTTACACATCTTCGAATTCAACCACTTTCAACCCCATATCTCCCGCACCCTTATAGCTATCGAGACGCAACCACCATAGTGCACGAATGGAGACTTGGGGCTACTACCACATACAAACACCATTCATGTGCGATGTGTAGTTTGGGTGAAAAGTGAAATATAGGGACACACACGTCCATTTATATATATATATAGATTATAATGTTATTATAAAGAGGTAAAGTTTGTAAGTTTGGATATAGGGGGTAATCTCCAAAACTACTCATCCGATTTCAAAAATTTTTTTCACCAATATTTAGAATGGACCTTCAGGTTGGACATAGGCTGTATATTATTCTGTTAAACATTCATATAAATTAAAAGATATCATCTATGATTAAGGCTTTTATGTCCAACAGATGGTGCTAACTCGGTGATTACAATGACCTAAGTTTGCTTTTCTGTGAGGATGAACTAAAGCAGATCATCTTCTATCTATCTATATAAATAAAAACGTAATGTTTGTTTGTTCCTACCGATTCTTTTGAAACTTTGACACAATATTGCATTCGAATACACACGCGTTTTTATATAATATACATGTCAAAATTCCCCCCACTGGGGAGAGACGGATAGGATTAAGGCTTTCCATAAAGAACTTTGCGTCTATTTATACTATTTTAGATGCGGTTTTTTGCGTTTTTGATTGTGTTTTAATAAGAGTATGTCAACAGAATATACACTAAAAAGGGATTTTTCAATATTCCCCCCACAAGGGAGAGGGACAGGATTAAGGCTTACCGTGAAGAACTCTGCTTTTATTTATACTATTTTAGATGCGGTTTTTTTGCGTTTTTGATTGTGTTTTAATAGGGTACATCAAGAGAATGTACACTAAGAAGGGATTTTTTGAAATTCCCCCCGTGGGGGAAGTGTTATACATTTATAAGAGATACACTTTGAGCCACAACAACGTGAGGTGGGGTCTGTTAGTAACTTAATAAAAAATCCATTAAATGAATTTTTATTTTTAAATTAAAAATTTTTTAATTCTTTTATAGCATGACAGTTAAATATTATTACAAAAATGTTGATTTTTTTTTAATATCACAGGAATTTTATATATATATTGAATACTGTAGAGATTTTTAAAACAAATAATTATTTTAAAGGCATGCATGAAGAACATTCCAAACTGTGATTGGTTACAGCAATGGATAGCTCAATCCAAAAGGTATGTTTTTTAAATTATAAAATTAATAATAATAAGAGATATAGATAACAACAGATTTATATCTTTGCAAAATCAATAGCATAAAAAAATTTTTATGCTATTGATTTTGATCTTTCATAATTTAAAAAAATGTTTTGATAATGTTGCAGTTTTTTAATTTTTCAAAAATTAAAATAGAAAAAATAGTAAAAAAACAAATGTAAATAGTTTGAAAAACTATGTTTCTTAATATAAAGAATTTTTATTTATAACATTTTTAAAGATTTTTCATTTAGTACTGAACAATAGTACATAACAATAGTTAAAATTGTTTTAACTGTTGTAATTGCAATTATATTATATAATTAATATAATTGCAATAAATATTACTTTAATGGCATTCCATTAAACTGAAAAGCTATACAGAAAACAATTTCTCTTACTATTGTTTTCAAATTTTAAACTCATACTCAGATAATAAAAATGTTTCTTACTTTTTAATCATTTTTATCAACAATTTTTTTTATTTTATTTTTGTTTATACATTTTATGCATGCATCATCATAGTAACAGCTGTCATGGAAATGATTTAGAATGTTCTTTTGAAGATGAGTTTAAAGATATACACTAATAAGAATTATTTTTTTGTATGTTTTGTGATCTTCTATAAATGCAATATTTATTAATTATATACCTGTGGAGTAGAAAATGATGTGATTATACATTCAAATAAAACAATTGTAATGATTTGGCTATTTTTCTGAAATAATTATTCCGATGAGTATTAAAAACAGAATTTAGATAAATTTATTATTATTTTTTTTTTATGTGTTGAAATTTTTTCCTCAACAGTTTTGCATTTCGATATAATCCAGCTCTTCAACCAAGAGCCCTTATTGTTTTTGGATGCATCAGTAAGACAATTGCAGATCAAGAAGTAAAGCAGTTACTCAGGATTTTGGTCAAAGCTTTGGAATCTTTTCAAGATTTGCGTTTAATTGATGCTATCATTATGTCTCTTACTCGTCTCCATCCCTTGTTAAGACCAGTAAGTATTAACTAATATCAAAGACACTCACCAAATCAGAAAATATAGCAATATAACATCAATATAAGTAAAACTAAATAAAAACAAACATTTTTGACAAACTTAAGTCATCATCATCAGGTTGAAAAGTAATTTGGAAGATAGAACTTGGAATTTGAAAAACCAAACACCATCTATCTTCCAAATTACTTTTCAATCTAAAGATGACAACTTAAGTTTGACAAAAACATTCATTTTTATTAAGTTTTTTCTTAAATCAATATTATATTGCTGTGGTATCTGGTTTATTTGATATTAATATTAAACCAGTTCTCAGTTGTTACTACATATTAGCTAATAATTAGAAATAATACAAGTGATAGATTAAATTTGGAAATATAAAGTAAAGAAAATGATTTATTTATTATAGGAATCTCCTATACATAGAGCATTATTTTGGGTTGCAATTTCAGTACTTCAATTAGATGAAATGACACTTTATGCTTCTGGGTTATCATTATTAGAACAAAATTTGCATACATTAGATTGTCAAGGAATTTTTGAAAATAAGGTAAAACTTATAACTTTAAGAGAAATAAATAAATTATGACTTATTTTACAAGTATTTAATTAATAAATTATTTTTACTACATTTTAGTTATTAGAAGACATAATGATGATGACTCGAGAACCACTTGAATGGCATTTTAAGCAATTAGACCATTCTGTTGGTTTGAGTTTCAAGACTAGTTTTCATTTTGCCTTGGTGGGCCATCTAATAAAAGGCAAGATTTATATTAAATGATAAAGCTGAAGATGATGTACCTTTAATTGTTAATTTTTTAAATTTAAATTAGAATTTAATTTGAACAAATATGTTGCACTAGTTTTTAGAATTTAAAAACTAGATCAGTGATGAGCTACCTTTTCTGGATGTGGGTTGCAAGTGAACTTTATAGACTTCTGTCAGGCCACATTCATTCTTTTTCTTGCAGAGTTGCAGGCTTTAAGACTGCTGAGAATCAACATATTCCATAACTTCCAATAAACTCGGTACTAAAATATATGCTAATGATATGTAAATTAGCATTATATATAGTTTATTCTCATCTTTTTAATTGACAAGTTTAGATTGAATGTTCTTTGTCACAAACATCAGCCTAATTAGTTCCATAATAGCATCAGATGGAAAATAAAATTACATTGCCAAAGCCCCAAGGACTTTATATTAGGACTTTGCAAGCTGTGAGTTGCCCATTACTGCCATAAATGAATCTCCACAACAAATTAACACAACTTCCAATCGTAATTTTGTAAACTTTGATAAAAATGGTCAGGCATTAATTGATGATAAAAAGATTCATCTAGAATTTATAATAATATAAAAAAAAAAAACAAAGTAATTTTAGTTGAAAAGAAATTGTTATAATTATTTACATTTTCAGGGATGTAGTCACACGGGGCAGCAAGGGATGACATTTCTCACACTGAGCTTTCCATCCTCTCAGAAGTCATTATTACTGCCCCACATAAGTTTAAAAGTAAACAGTGTAAACAAAAGAATGCCACAAGTAGTTGACCACTGGATGAAAGCAAAACATGGTCTCAAATTTTGGGTTACATGAACAATCATAAGGTAAAGCAGAATAAAATTCAATATTTGTTCTTGTTCAGCCTTTTATTTTTATTGAGCATTGTCATGTGTAAATTACACTTTTTTGCATTTGGCCTTCATATAACTTGAACAATAATGTGTTGCTAGTGATCAAAGGCTATTGTATTTTTATGTAGCCTACCTACCCATTTAAAGTTTATGCCAACCCTTGGAAATGACCCACACAAAAATTTCTGGTTACATCCCTGATTTTTAAATTGTTAGAAAAATCTATTTCTAACAATTTAAAAATCTTCAAAATTTAGAAGATTCTGAGTAAATTCTGTTTATTTATTACTCTAGTTTTTGCATATTACCAGTTACATTTTTAGTTGATATCTATTTAAATAAATGATTTGACCCTTAGGTTTTAGACATCCTACTCCCACTACTGTTTCTCGAACTACAAGAGTTTTAAATATGGTATTGGGAATTATTGCTAAGCCACATAGAAGGTTAGTATTTTTGTGTGTTTTTTAATTTGCATAATTGTTGGGTTATATATTGGGTTGTTCGGAAAGTAATTTTGTTTTTTTTCTTTGGAAAAAACAATATTTTTATAATAAATAAATATTTTATTAGATTATATATCAACCATTTTGGTGAAATACCTGTTGCCATCTTTCTGGTAGTAGCATGATTCCACGTTCATAAAAGTTTTGATCTTTGCTTACAAAAAACTGATCCAAGTAATTTTTGACATTTTCATTTCAAGTAAATATCTTACAGTTTAAAAAATTTTGTATAGACCAGAACAAGTAATAATCTGAGGGTGCCTGATCTGGCGAATATGGTTGGTGTGATAGCACATCCCATCTAAGCTGTAACAGTTTCTGACAAGTTACCAAACTTGTGTGAAATTTGGCATAATCATGATAAAACACTACACCTGTTTTGTTGATCAATTCTTGCCTTTTCTGTTTGATGATATTACTCAATTTGTTTACTCAATGGCAGTACACTTTCAAATCAGTTGTTAAATTGTCTGGCTAAAGCTCAAAAAAAAAAATTTCCTTAAAATCCCACCAAAGAGAGCATCTCTCTTTAAGAACATTTAATCTGTTAGTGATTTCACATGTTGTTATTTGGCAGTTTGCTTCAATCAGTACGTTTATTTTGTTTTCATTGGCTTCAACTGGCCATCCAGAACATGGTGCATCTTCAATACTGAAATTGCCAGAACAAAATTTTGTAAATTAGTTTTGGCACTGTCATTCTGTCAATACATCTTCTCCATACATGTCACACAACTTTTTTTTTTGCTTGAACAGCATTTTGATTTTTTGGTAATAAAAAAAGCAAAATATGTCAAAAATGATGCTTTCAATTTTTCATATTTAATGGGACACTGAAAAAAAACAATTGTACAGAATCAAACAAACATTTTACAAATAAGCCTTAAAATGTCAGCTATCAAAGTATATAATGAAAAGGTGGTTTAAAATGAAATTGGCTGGTAAAAATACATCTAATTCCTTAATTCCTCTAGTAATAAAAAAAAAACGAAATTACTTTCCGAACAACCCAATATAACGTATCTTAAAAAATTAATTTGGATTTTTTCAAGAGATTTTATTTTCTTCCATTTGAGTTATAGAATAAATTAAATTTACAATGATTAATTTTCAATGTACTTCAAATTTTTTTTATTTTAGAGATAAATTTGAAGTTACACCAGAAAGTGTTCCTTACTTGGCTGGTAAGTAGGAATTTAAATGATAAAGCTGAAGATGATGTACCTTTAATTGTTAATTTTTTAAATTTAAATTAGAATTTAATTTGAACAAATATGTTGCACTAGTTTTTAGAATTTAAAAACTAGATCAGTGATGAGCTACCTTTTCTGGATGTGGGCTGCAAGTGAACTTTATAGACTTCTGTCAGGCCACATGCATTCTTTTTCTTGCAGAGTTGCAGGCTTTAAGACTGCTGAGAATCAACATATTCCATAACTTCCAATAAACTCGGTACTAAAATATATGCTAATGATATGTAAATTAGCATTATATATAGTTTATTCTCATCTTTTTAATTGACAAGTTTAGATTGAATGTTCTTTGTCACAAACATCAGCCTAATTAGTTCCATAATAGCATCAGATGGAAAATAAAATTACATTGCCAAAGCCCCAAGGACTTTATATTAGGACTTTGCAAGCTGTGAGTTGCCCATTACTGCCATAAATGAATCTCCACAACAAATTAACACAACTTCCAATCGTAATTTTGTAAACTTTGATAAAAATGGTCAGGCATTAATTGATGATAAAAAGATTCATCTAGAATTTATAATAATATAAAAAAAAAAAACAAAGTAATTTTAGTTGAAAAGAAATTGTTATAATTATTTACATTTTCAGGGATGTAGTCACACGGGGCAGCAAGGGATGACATTTCTCACACTGAGCTTTCCATCCTCTCAGAAGTCATTATTACTGCCCCACATAAGTTTAAAAGTAAACAGTGTAAACAAAAGAATGCCACAAGTAGTTGACCACTGGATGAAAGCAAAACATGGTCTCAAATTTTGGGTTACATGAACAATCATAAGGTAAAGCAGAATAAAATTCAATATTTGTTCTTGTTCAGCCTTTTATTTTTATTGAGCATTGTCATGTGTAAATTACACTTTTTTGCATTTGGCCTTCATATAACTTGAACAATAATGTGTTGCTAGTGATCAAAGGCTATTGTATTTTTATGTAGCCTACCTACCCATTTAAAGTTTATGCCAACCCTTGGAAATGACCCACACAAAAATTTCTGGTTACATCCCTGATTTTTAAATTGTTAGAAAAATCTATTTCTAACAATTTAAAAATCTTCAAAATTTAGAAGATTCTGAGTAAATTCTGTTTATTTATTACTCTAGTTTTTGCATATTACCAGTTACATTTTTAGTTGATATCTATTTAAATAAATGATTTGACCCTTAGGTTTTAGACATCCTACTCCCACTACTGTTTCTCGAACTACAAGAGTTTTAAATATGGTATTGGGAATTATTGCTAAGCCACATAGAAGGTTAGTATTTTTGTGTGTTTTTTAATTTGCATAATTGTTGGGTTATATATTGGGTTGTTCGGAAAGTAATTTTGTTTTTTTTCTTTGGAAAAAACAATATTTTTATAATAAATAAATATTTTATTAGATTATATATCAACCATTTTGGTGAAATACCTGTTGCCATCTTTCTGGTAGTAGCATGATTCCACGTTCATAAAAGTTTTGATCTTTGCTTACAAAAAACTGATCCAAGTAATTTTTGACATTTTCATTTCAAGTAAATATCTTACAGTTTAAAAAATTTTGTATAGACCAGAACAAGTAATAATCTGAGGGTGCCTGATCTGGCGAATATGGTTGGTGTGATAGCACATCCCATCTAAGCTGTAACAGTTTCTGACAAGTTACCAAACTTGTGTGAAATTTGGCATAATCATGATAAAACACTACACCTGTTTTGTTGATCAATTCTTGCCTTTTCTGTTTGATGATATTACTCAATTTGTTTACTCAATGGCAGTACACTTTCAAATCAGTTGTTAAATTGTCTGGCTAAAGCTCAAAAAAAAAAATTTCCTTAAAATCCCACCAAAGAGAGCATCTCTCTTTAAGAACATTTAATCTGTTAGTGATTTCACATGTTGTTATTTGGCAGTTTGCTTCAATCAGTACGTTTATTTTGTTTTCATTGGCTTCAACTGGCCATCCAGAACATGGTGCATCTTCAATACTGAAATTGCCAGAACAAAATTTTGTAAATTAGTTTTGGCACTGTCATTCTGTCAATACATCTTCTCCATACATGTCACACAACTTTTTTTTTTGCTTGAACAGCATTTTGATTTTTTGGTAATAAAAAAAGCAAAATATGTCAAAAATGATGCTTTCAATTTTTCATATTTAATGGGACACCGAAAAAAAAACAATTGTACAGAATCAAACAAACATTTTACAAATAAGCCTTAAAATGTCAGCTATCAAAGTATATAATGAAAAGGTGGTTTAAAATGAAATTGGCTGGTAAAAATACATCTAATTCCTTAATTCCTCTAGTAATAAAAAAAAAACGAAATTACTTTCCGAACAACCCAATATAACGTATCTTAAAAAATTAATTTGGATTTTTTCAAGAGATTTTATTTTCTTCCATTTGAGTTATAGAATAAATTAAATTTACAATGATTAATTTTCAATGTACTTCAAATTTTTTTTATTTTAGAGATAAATTTGAAGTTACACCAGAAAGTGTTCCTTACTTGGCTGGTAAGTAGGAATACATCTATATTTATATAAATTTATGAAATTAATTTTTCAAAGACATTAATAAATTGCATTTATTATTTTGATTAATCAGTTATTTACTTAAAGTTATCTGTATGTAAAATCATATAAAAATGAAATAAATAGTATATAAAGTATGATAAAATATAAATATCTCCTAGCTTTATTTTTAATTGTACCATTATTACAATCATTGATTTAAAACAGTACTTCATAAAGTTTTCAGAGAATATTCATACTATAGTCACAAGAAACCACATTAAAAAAAATAATTCAATTTTATGGTTAATAATTTTTATGACAATAATAATAATAATAAAATTTTAGATCAATATTTTTCTCAAAAGAATTAGTTTAGTCCATCAATAAGCAGTTTTAGCATTTATTGAAAATAATATTTTTATTTTAACTCAAGTATCTGTCTTTATTTATTAGAAAAACATCAGGTTGTTCATCTACAACTAAAAATAAAATTTTAAAAAGGCTTTTTAAATGATTAGGCAGATATATATGAATTAAAAAAGGAAAAATTAAATCCAATAATATAATACTTGTTACATAAAAGTATAATTTTAATCTCTTTCTATTCAGAAAAGATTAAATTATTCAAAATAAATTTCTGTATATTTTTATTGAAGGCTGTCAAAATACAATGTTTAGTGAATCAACTGACATTGTTTTAATTAGCCATTAAAATATATGATTATGATAATTAGCAGTATAGATATTATATATTGTTATAATATATAAATACATATTTAAAAATAGACACAATATATAATATCTATACTGCTAATTATATATTGTTATAATATATAAATACATATTTAAAAATAGACACCAACAAATTTATTTAATAGTTTTTTTTTTTAACTTATAGCTCTTGTTTCTGTATCTGAAGAAGTAAGAAGTAGATGCCATTTGAAACACAGAATTGCAAGAGTAGTATCAGAATCACCATCAGCTGAAGGTTTTTCAGGTGACTTGCATTCTGCTATATCAACTTCTCCTAGTAATCCAACTCCAACCCAGACACCTGGACATACCCCAATACCATCTCCCTGTTCATCAGCATCTACGTCTGCCCAAACATCACCTCATGCACCCCTTCCTTCTCATAACGCACAACTCATACCTCAAGGAGGAAGTGGTACACCTCTTGCAAATACACCCTTTAATCGTAGACAAAAATCATGGGATTTGCTAGATCAGAATGCATTAGCCCAAGCCAGATTAACAAAACAAACAACTGTTCAACAGGTATGATCTGGTTTTATTTTTATTTTTTTCTTTAACTGTATTTTAAAGTTTATGAAATTTAATTAGGTTCAAAACAAAGATCCTAAGAGTTGGAGAAGTCTTGATATGGATGTGCAGAATATACGTCCATTATTTAAAACTCAACGGAGTAGCTCAATGCCAACCCCAAAAATGCAAAAATCTGTAGAAATTAGTGGTAGAATATCTCCATCTATTAGTTCTAAAGGTGATACTTGTGAAGAAATTTCACCACATTGTAAAGAAAGAGGTTCAAGAGTTTCTGTCTCGAATGAAGATAATGTGCTTCTTGATCCAGAAGTACTTACAGATTTTCCTACCCAAGCATTAGTACTTACTGTTTTGGTAAGTTTATTTAAATGAATTCAATTAAAAACATTGAAAATCTTTTGTAGTTAGAATATTTTAAATTTAAACAGCATTGTAAAATATCATTTGTGTGAAACATATAATGATCTCCTCAGTGCTATTTATTAACAGCACTAAGGACATGTCTTTTCAGTGTTATCTGTTTAATAATGGAAAGAAATGCTCATGCAAGCACTTCTGATATTTACAAAAATTGTCTTCATTAGGCAAAAATAAAAAAAAGAACACATGCTCAAATGTTAGTATAAAAATTTTAAATTTTAACATTAATTCATTTTAGATGGAACACAATTACGAAATTTGATGTATGGACTGCAAAATCATTTTTATCTGGGAGACTTTGTTCATTAAAAAATTGGGGCCCTGGAACAAACCCATATTGGTGCTTTCAAAGCTATGGGTCATTCTGTATAAATCCTTAATTTTTTAGAGGCACTATCGTGGGAATCACGTGACCATTTGTTTTGAATTAATACGACAACCGTACAAGTGTGGAATTATCAAAAATTTGAATAATTTGCGTTATATTTGAGTTTTTCCGCGATTTAGCTATGATTCGCTCTTTTGTAGGTCAATTGACTGTGTTTAAGCCAATAAGTGTTTTGTTACTACCCCTGGGCCATAAATATTTCGGTAAATACACTCCCCTGCCACTTACAGTAAATCTTCGCAGTTAACTACACAGTTGGTTGAAAACAATCAAAAGGAAACTTTTTCTAAAGTTTTATTGGGTATCTTCTGTCTTTGTTGACATTACTGTAACTAATCACAGACTTGTGAAAGAAAAAATTGCCGCGAAAAGTCCCGCCTCCAACCTTCGAAGTAAAATGTAAACAATCACAATAAATTTGCTTTTTAAATCATTTTTTAGCTCTAATTAACTAATTTAACGTTTTAAGGCATTAAATTAGCTAATTCGACAATATTTAATCATATAAATATGTTTTTAAAACTATCTAGCAACAAATATTCCCAGGAAACTCCACCTCTCTATAGTAAGTTTATGGAAGATGTTCTTGCTGTTAATTGGTTTTAAAATTTTTGTTTCTATGCTTATTATGCTCTAATTGGTAATTTATATTATGACTGATTTAACTTTAACGAATGAGAGTTTTTTTCAGAACCATCTGGTCTGGATTTTTCCGCGAAGAACCAATCCACGTGATTGAAGTTATTATGTAAACAAATATTAAAAAATAGCTATATTCATTATTTTAGGTGTAATTCTACTAGTTTTCATGTTATTTGACTCTACTCAGACAAGAAGATTTTTTATCAAAAGCTTCCAGCTGAAAAATTTTCCAGGAAACTCATTACTTCCAGATATTGCGTACTTGCAGGAAAAAATTAACTAATCATTTATTATAGGATATTATCATATAAAGCATTGAAAAAATATGTAAAAAGTGTCAAATATTCACTCTTATAAAAGTATATTGATAAACTTTGACCTAAAAATACTTGAGCCACTCCCCGCAGTTAGTCATATAGGGAGACAGAGTACATTGTAAACAAGGACTTTACTCAGAACTGTTTATATATATGTGAGGGTAAAGTCAAATTTTTGCAGTTATGTAATAAGAGAAAATACGTAAACAATTGCTTGCAAATTTGCGTTGTATAGTCGATTACTGCAATAATCATCAAAATAATATAGAAATACTTTTTATTCTAAGTAAGATTTATTTTGTTATTTTAAATTAGTGACCAATTCATAAATATTTTGAATACATTTAATTATTTTTCGAAAAATAAGTGAAAGCCGTATCGGTCGTACAGCTCACTAATCGGCGTCGCTTCACGATGACAATCAACTCCTCTCCCGGCTAAGTAATTAGAGACATTGTGTAAGTAATGGCAATAATGAAATAATGTACTGTATAAGACTGCTAACCTACATTTTATGCAGTTGACTCTATGCAGCAATTAGTTCATCCTTATGTTCTAATCTGATTTATGATCTTCAAATTTTGTAATTGTGTTCCATCTAAAATAAATTAACATCAAAACTTAAAATTTTATATTAACATTCAGGCATGTGTTCTTTTATTTTTTGCATGACGATGTTTTTGTAAATGTTGAAAATGCTTGCATGAATATTTATTTTTGTTATTAAACACAGATAATGCTGAAAAGACAGTGTCCTCAGTGCTATTTATTACACTTTAGCGTGGTGAAAAAGATTTTTTTTACATTATGGAAACTGCAAGATGATATTTTTTCTTATGTATATTGTGTAGTTTTATCATTCTTTTTTATACATATCTACATTTTTTCATATATATTTTTTAATTAGATGTTTCTTCATTGTTAATTTAAGGGATGGCTTATTTTGCTCATTGGGCATTGCTATGCATCTTTTGTATAAAGAAAAGAAGGAAAGAAAAATAAATTGCGTAGTTATTTATTTATTGTTATAAAACATTGAATCATTCATTAAAATTTCAATTCACATTTCACTGACATGTGTATTAAAATATTTGTAATTATTTACCATATTTAAGGAAAATTAATTGTGCTAGTTATATTAAAAAAAAAGAAGTCTTAATTGCACATTCAAATTAATTTTTTTTTTTTTACTAAAAAGATGAATTTATCATATTTACACAAAACCAAACTGCACTTTTTTTACAAATTTTAAGGGTCCAAAGTTGGGTTGTGGCTTATATTCAGCTGTTTTTATGTTTTTAAAAAACATTACAACATTCTGGGATGTGTCCTTATGTATATCAATGATGATTGACATATTTGGCCATTCTCATTGTGCGCTTTGTTGAATAATAATGGGTAGTTAATAGGCAATCTTACTTGTCAGTGCCCCCACAGGGCAAAAAAGAATTTAAAAAAAAATCACAAATGTTTTGTTTTGATTTATTTTAACAATTTACAGCAATATGTGGTAAATGTGATATATGGTATGTTATGATACAGAATTTTGGCACTTCACTTTGTTTCACTGTGGGTATACTCAGAATCAGAAGCATTAATGGTATGTTCCCATTCAGAAGAAGACTCATCATCTGAATCATCATCCCACAAAGCATTCTTCACTTCTGTCAAAGGCATTGCTGATTGAGCATTTCTTGAATGATTTAATGACTACAGACTCATTCATATGATTCCATATGGCCTTAATCCATCTTCAGACAGTTGGGGCAGAGACGTACCAATTTTTCATGAAGATGTACAGTACATATAATGTGCACCTTCTAACCATATCTTGTATACAATTGTCACATTGGCATTGGGTGGTTGCAACACCAATGTCATTCCCATGGGATTATTATCAGTTTGGTCTTTTGCTTTGTAATTTCATTTTTTACTCATTTACATCAACTCCAAATTGTCATGAAGCTGCTGTATTCCCAATTTTCTCTGCAGCAAAAATGACTTTTTATCTTGTATTAAGCTGGTAAAATAAAATGCTTATGTTTGTCTTTTGCTAAATTCATTATGCCAAACAACACAAACAAAAAGGGGAAACAAAAGGGCCAATGAAATTAACATGTTGGAATTTGCATTTGATGACGACATTATGTCTGGGCTGCAGAAACATGCATACTTCATATATTCAGGTGTAGATCATAATAGAATGCAAACTATGTTTCTGGAAATATGGTCTAAGAACTAGATTATAGTTATATTTGGTGGTGGCTTATTTTCATGTAAATATTGTATTATTTTACTACATCATATTAGAGTGGAAAACTTAAATATATTAATGTGACTGCAATATTTTATTTAATGCTAAATTATATAATTCTTAGTTTAAATGATTGGTACTGTAAATTGCTCTGGATTAAATGTTTTTTGTGTGTATTCTTTTTAAACTCATAAAATTTTCATTTAAGGTATACTGTATACTGAATGATCGTAATTAAAATATTCCTATTCAACATTGTCTGGATTTAGCAATTAAATCCAATATGGCAACATTTCAGGAAGTGTGAATAATAGTGTTGCCACCTTTTCAAAATTGCTGACCTGGACATTTTAAAATTGGATGTTAGTTATACTTAGAAAAAAAAATTAGGTTTTTTATTGTGAGTAGCAAAATAAACATTTTTTTTTATTAGAAGGTAAACATGTACGTGATGAAACTGTATGAGGCATATGCAATTCATTTTACAGCCAAGAACTGAACAATGCACACACCAGTTTTAAATCAGTTAGGGACTTGTGTTGGAACAAACCTAATATTTGCAAGTTAGAATTTTAAAAGTACATTTTCTGTCACTTAGCCTAGGGATAACTGTGTGGGAGTGTGAAGTTAGTCTTTAACTGTTAAAATAAAACACTCACAAATATTTTTATAAATTTATTTTGTTTCATTATAATTTCACAATTTCTATGAAAACTGGACAAATTAATAATTAATCCGGACCATGAATTTAAAAACTTTGAATTTTGGCTTGTCTGGGTAAAAATTGGCCTAGTGGCAACACTAGCCCTATCTTCCATACTATGCTGTAGGATAAACCAAACTGCCATTATACTGCATGCATTATTCAATGACTGGAATCTGGAGTGCAGTTGGACTGAAGAAAATAATAATAATAAAGGACTAAAAGATAATAACAACTTAGTTTAAGCAATTTTAACAGTTATAAAAATATTAATTTACTTTAGAAAACTTGAAGATGATATAATTGGACCAAAAGTTATCTAAATATATAAAATTACTTGTCCTGACTGACTGATTCATCACCCAGAGCAAACCTGAACCTAAAGAGGTGAAATTTGGTACACAGTTAGGGTACGTCATGAAAACGCACACTAAGAAGGGATTTTTGGAAATTCCCCCTGTGGGGGAGAGGGAGAGGATTAAGGCTTAACCTGAAGAACAGCTTCTACTGTACTACTTTAGATGAGATTTTTTGTTTTCAACTATGTTTAGTCTTCATTTACTTAGGTGTATTAAATTGATAACATTTCAGACATTGTTATAAATATTTTTATACATTTTGATTTTTTAACCAAACGTTCAAACCATTTTAAATTAGAATTTGTTATTGCATATTGGTTCAATTATAGAATGATTGTAAATGTTCCAGAAAATTGATCAAATTGAAAACAGTTCGTTTGATTCTCAGCAATTCTCATCATTCTCTATGATAGGTGTTATATAACAATTACTATGGTTGTTGAAATACTGAATGTAAATGGAGTTTGCTTGCAAAATCCACACGGATGAAGTCACAGGTAACAGCTAGTTGTTGATAATGTATTTGGTATTTACTTAGTAATCCAAACAAGTAGATAAGATATATTGAAATTTTTTTGAAAATTGATTAAGCCAAGTTATTTGAAACATTCCATTTGTATTATTGACTAATTATCATTATTAAAGAAAATAATTTATCAGAATTATGAACATAGTCTAAGAAAAAATTCTTGAGACAAGGGAAAAAAATGAAATACAAATTCAGATTATTAGAAAATGTTTAATATTAGTATAGTTTTTCTCCAATAATTATTTTGTAATTTAAATCAGAATTTTTTGATTAAAAAAATAATAATTATTAATATATAATTAAACATTAAATTTTATCATTATAAAAATTAGTTTAATATTAATATGCCAATCTAATGTTAAAATCCCTACTAGGCTACTTTGGTTAGAAATACAACAGATGAAAATGAGATGAGGATATTGTACGAATATTTAGCCGAAGCCTCTGTTGTGTTTGCAAAAGTTTTTCCTGTCATGTAAGTCAATATTGCATTTCTTCTGAATTTATATAATTTAATTTTGATGATGATGCTAATTATATTTGATGATAATTTAGTCATAGTTTAATGGATGCTAAAATTACCAGTGTGTTATCTTTATGCCATGATCAAGTTATTCTCAGTGCAGTACAGAGTATTATTCATAATATGATTGCATGTGAGGATAGTAGTCAACAGCAGTTGCATTATTTACAAAGTAAGTGATAGAATTTTAATTTTCAGTATAGGAAAATTAATTTGTTATATACAAAATGTACTTTAAATTACATAAGAGTAAGTTAAAGCTTGAAATCTCATTATTTTATCCCAGGCTTTAAAGTATGAGTAAATAATTATTTTTATGCACATTTATAGATCTTTTCATTATCAACTCTTACTTAATTATTTTATAACAGCTGAAATATAAGGACAAAGCACATGGATAGTCACAATATCAATTTTTTCTGTTTATCTAAAGTATCAAAGTATTTGCATGAAATATATTTATATGAATATTTTATTCACATAAAATATAAACACTTAAACAAATGCTTATACTTTTCTTTTTGTAAGAAATGTGTATTTTTGTGTTTTCTATTAATATGAAGTATTTTATATCACAATCAGCTGTGTGTGCATTAAATATTTCATTGAATTAATTATCATCATTTAAACATTAGAAGAGAGATAAAATTCATTCATTTGATCAAAATATTAAGATGAACTTTTGGAAACTTCATATTTTCTTTCTATAAAAAAATTAATAATTTTATCCTTTGAACTTTAAAGATATTTCAGACTTAAATTTTTTCCTGTATGCATAGTTTAGTGGACATCTTTTATGTAGGATATCTCAAACAGAATACATAGAATAACCATCCCATCTTTATTTTAACAATCTTGTTGATTCTTGTTGATGCAATCATAAATTAAGCTTCTAAACATACTTCCTCAGACTACTGTAAAGATCTCTTATCTTATTTATTATTGATATATGATATTTAAAACTAAGGTCGGGCGTAACATATTTTACCTGCTTTTTCAGAATATCAATTCAGCAAGTAAGATTTCATCTACCATTATTTTAATATTTTTCAAAACTAAAAAAATGCATATAAAAACTGTTTTTAATGAAAAAGTTATTTCTTAACATATGCTTGTCAAAGAAATACCCAAAAGTAATTTCTCTATTTAATAAAGGTTACATAAAAAGAATTGCTCCTATGGAAATTCATAGACTTATATCTACTAACCAGAATTAGAAAATAACTGAGAAAAGGGAAGAAAATATAAAATTGTTTCTCTCATCTTTTATATTAACATATTTCATGATTTACTGAATTGAGACAAAATTAATTCAAACATAAAATAATTATAACTGACCAAAGCTGATAAACAGGCAAACAAAATTAACTATACAGTTTGATTTTACAGTCTGAATTTAAATTNTAGGAAAAAACCCCAATGCTTCATTTACTTTTATTTTAGGTATCAATCTACTTTAATTCACAGTATTTTAAATATAACACTGTAAATATGTTAAACCTGAAATAAATCAATATATTTAATAATTTCTTAAGTCAGCACGATAAATAATATGATACTAATGGCAGTTTTGGTTGAAACCATTTGCCTTTATAAGGATAATGTCTGATTTTAACAAAACAAAAATTTGGAGATGATTGACAAAGTTGAATGTTATTTAAGCACTTTGAAAAAAATTATTTTAGTACTTTAAGCAAAAGATTAAAAAAAAAGATTAAATGCATCTGAAATAATGCACATAACTTACTAAAATAATAAATAACTTCTAATAAAAATCATGAATTAATCATTAATAAAATAACTCAAGTGAAACCTTGAGTTATTTTATTAATGACTCCAAACCATGAGTAATATAATTTTAACTTAATTTATTTCAACTCTTCACATTACTAGTCAATATAAAAAATTCTCATAGCATATTAATTTGCTTCACAATTTTTTAAAGTGATAATATTAAATGTGGCATCAATATTTTAATTCTTGTTAACCAGAAATTATTCAATATAGACAAAACTAAGAAAAATATTTTGAATTAGTGCTGTCTGTATTCAATAAATTTCAAAATTTCATTTAAAGAAGTAACTCCATGAAAGAATGTATGCAATCTTTTAAGTCGTGTTTTTATAGACATTTCCTTACCGAAAAATTTCTATAAAGAAGGCTTTGCATACAACCACTTCCTAAAAAAATTTTTTTGTATGCACAAGAAAATGTATTGTGTATACAAAAATTTTTAAATGGTCATTTCATTCAATAAAGTTTCTGAACTCACATTATACAGACTGTTGAACATTTAATATTTTTAAATTAATAAATTTTTTTTATAAATAGAATATTTTTTAGATTTTTGTTTGAAAAAAATATTTAAAAATTTATAAATATGATTTTTTAATTGATTATCTATATACTCAGATAATTATTACATATTCAAATTAGGATATTTATATTGTAAAAATAAATTCTTATATTATTTAATATGTTAAGATATTGTCTGGGAGGTATAGGGTGTGTTTGTGCAAAAAAATTTATCTGTTAATATGCACATAAATTATTAATTGATATTTTTTTTATTAGCGTTTGGTTTTGGAGGATTGTGGAGATTTGCCGGTCCATTTTCAAAGGTAATAAAATCTTATTTTAAATGCAAAAAAATCTTATGATATTAAAATTTTTTAGAAATTTTAAACTGAAATATAGAATAAAAGTAAAATGTATTTTTGAATTTATTTTGATTTCTGCAATTCATATACAGTTAAACTGTTAGTAATCATAAATTACTTTTTGTTTTGATTAATGAACTTAAATTTATATTATAATTTTTCTTCTCCAGTGTCAAACAAATTTAGACAATGCCGAATTATTTGTTAATTGTCTGGAAGCCATGGTCGAAACTTGTTTACCTAGTGATGAAGGAGAATTTCAAGAATTGACTCAGTATCCCAGCACTCTTAGTGTATCATCTGTTATGAATTTATCATCATCAATGTCTAGCCTAACCCTGGGATCTCCCACCGAGAAAGAATCTGGAGCAGATTATGCCAATGTGAGTACAGATGGTTCGGTCAGAATTCGACATGGGTCTGCCAGTCAGTTAAGCAAGCAACGCAGCTTTAAGTGTAAGAGTTCTAAAAACGGGAAGACTGCTCATTAAAATTATTTTTACTAAATAACTTCTAGGACAGTTATCATTGACAGGCTGTAGATCCAGCTAAAGAAACTGAGGAGTTAATCAACAGTTTCAATTTCAATCCATAATTTTATATATAATTTCCTGTGTTGCCATCTCCTCTTTCATTGCACCATATACTTTATCATATTTGGTTAATGTCATAAGAAATTTTACATAAATACTAAATGTATATTGGAATTTATAAAATATAATACAGTATTTTCTGAAGTTCACATTCAACAAAGAAGAGACACTGGTTCAGATATCCTTTCTGTCAGTATTAACTATTATTACCATTATTATTGTATACATATTGATTAATTCATTAGTTTTGTGCTCTAACTGCCAACTTAATGTTTTCCATCAGCAAAATAAAAAAAAAGAGTGATTGTTATATAAATTGCACCATTCATATTGGAAGCAAACTTCTGTTGTTCTTATTATGAGATTCATACTATCAATCTCTAGTATGTTTGTGTAATTATATAGTTGTTGTACAAAGAGACAAGTATTGTAAAGTTGTTTATTAATAATGTTATGCATGACTATACATGTGCTTTATTTTTGTAAAATCCAAGTATTAAAAATGTTTAAAAAGTTATTATTATTAATAATAATAATGGTAAATCTTCACTGTGGTAGAGGGACCACTGGGAGTTTTGGATACTGTTTGTGTTGTCCCTTCTGAATTTTAAAAATTTATCTCAAAGAGACTGTAGATAAGAAACGGGTATTTATGGAAACAGATTCACCAATTGGAAACTCAAATGGAAATTTTGGCATTATTTGACTTTCCAAGAACATTTATAAATTTAAAGTGTTAAAAAAAATCATTCATCTGGAAAAGACTGTTCCAATTACAGTGTGCATCATGTTTCCAGAAAGTTGTAAATAATTCAAATGTTATATTCCATTAAATTTATGCATTTAGTTCCAGGATGTGCTAGACAAAAGTACTCCATTCCAAGTCTTTTCTCAACAATATGTATATGGAATTTCAGCTGAATTTGTTCAAAGTCTGTTAATTTTTTCTGCACCTGTTGAAGAAAGAAATTCTGTATAATTTATATATATACTTGTACAAATTTAGCAAACAAACTTGTTTTTAACATTGATTCGGAAAGTCTCAAAGAATTTATATCAAAAATAGCCAGTTGGAACTTATTTAAAAAATAATAAAATAAAGAAAAAGTTATTTCAAAAAGAACATTTTAAGTCAGTAAATCATATAAAGGCATGTTTGATTGGAAAGATCAGACAACTTCAACGAAGCATTTCATTCTGTTTGTTTCAACGTCATAAACGGAAAACTTTGTTATACGTGCCGAAACCGACAGCAGCATTCGGAAAGTGCTCAGTAACTTTCACTAGTCCAATCAAACAGGTCCAAAAACAATCATATTAATTGTCAAAGTTTGTTTCTACTGTATTGCACAAGTGTGTTTGTAATCTTGTATGCAACCTTGATTATTGAACAAATTTTCAAAAGAAAACAAAAGTTGTGAGAAAATAATTTGTCTATCATTCAAAGTCTATTTAAAATATTCAATATGTTTTAGATATACATTGTCATTCTGAATAATAAAATTGTTTAATTCAGAATTGTATATTGTGATCATATTTTATTCAAAATTCTCAGACACCATTCTCCATAAGTCATAATATCATCATCATTTATAAACCAAAATTGATTTATCCGAACAATAATAGAATAAAAATCCTTGCAACCTCCAATTCAAATTTTATATCAATAGCATTTTTTTTTTTTTTCAAATTACTTTGCTGTCTATTTCATGTTGCAATAGTCAAATTCAATAGAAAATGAATTATGAATAATTCATAAACTGAATTAAAAATAAATCTAAATGAATTGCTATTACTACTTTGTATTATTAAAAATAAATAATATATAATTATCGTAATTTGTAGTCGCGTGTCGAAGGAAATGTCAAATTTTTGGATGCTTTGATTTATTAGAAACGATTCAAATCCGATTGATTTATAAGGATACTTTACGTTTCTGTTTTTCACCTAGCTTAAATTTAAAAATTTCCAAAACAATTGAACCAGAGAATAGAAACATCCCATTACCTAACGCCGCGCAGTGACAAAAACTGGAACTAACGTGTCCGCGGATGATTGGTAAATTGTGCAGGCCTCGAAGAGCACTTGCTCGCTATTTCGGTCCTGTTTTACGGTTAAAACGAGCGTTGTAAAAAGAATTATATTTTTAAAGGTCAAAACAGGTGCAAAATGATTTCTGAATAAGAAAAACGGACGAATAAAAAACAAATGAATATTTTCATAATGCTAAATATATAGCTGTTTGTTTTGAAAACCAATTAAATTTTTTGTGATTGGTTTTCAAACATATTCTTGATATTTTCATATTACTTTATACAGTAAATATCTGAAAAACTAATTCTCGAATCTGGCGCTATTTCTAAATGGTTTAATCAGCAGCGGCCTTATCCATTGCGAGGCCCTTGTCCTTTGTGCAAAGTATGTGAATTGAAATAGTAGGCACTTATTAATATTAATATATACTGTACTATAAATTAAATTTATTTTATTGTTANCAATTGCTTGCAAATTTGCGTTGTATAGTCGATTACTGCAATAATCATCAAAATAATATAGAAATACTTTTTATTCTAAGTAAGATTTATTTTGTTATTTTAAATTAGTGACCAATTCATAAATATTTTGAATACATTTAATTATTTTTCGAAAAATAAGTGAAAGCCGTATCGGTCGTACAGCTCACTAATCGGCGTCGCTTCACGATGACAATCAACTCCTCTCCCGGCTAAGTAATTAGAGACATTGTGTAAGTAATGGCAATAATGAAATAATGTACTGTATAAGACTGCTAACCTACATTTTATGCAGTTGACTCTATGCAGCAATTAGTTCATCCTTATGTTCTAATCTGATTTATGATCTTCAAATTTTGTAATTGTGTTCCATCTAAAATAAATTAACATCAAAACTTAAAATTTTATATTAACATTCAGGCATGTGTTCTTTTATTTTTTGCATGACGATGTTTTTGTAAATGTTGAAAATGCTTGCATGAATATTTATTTTTGTTATTAAACACAGATAATGCTGAAAAGACAGTGTCCTCAGTGCTATTTATTACACTTTAGCGTGGTGAAAAAGATTTTTTTTACATTATGGAAACTGCAAGATGATATTTTTTCTTATGTATATTGTGTAGTTTTATCATTCTTTTTTATACATATCTACATTTTTTCATATATATTTTTTAATTAGATGTTTCTTCATTGTTAATTTAAGGGATGGCTTATTTTGCTCATTGGGCATTGCTATGCATCTTTTGTATAAAGAAAAGAAGGAAAGAAAAATAAATTGCGTAGTTATTTATTTATTGTTATAAAACATTGAATCATTCATTAAAATTTCAATTCACATTTCACTGACATGTGTATTAAAATATTTGTAATTATTTACCATATTTAAGGAAAATTAATTGTGCTAGTTATATTAAAAAAAAAGAAGTCTTAATTGCACATTCAAATTAATTTTTTTTTTTTTTTTACTAAAAAGATGAATTTATCATATTTACACAAAACCAAACTGCACTTTTTTTACAAATTTTAAGGGTCCAAAGTTGGGTTGTGGCTTATATTCAGCTGTTTTTATGTTTTTAAAAAACATTACAACATTCTGGGATGTGTCCTTATGTATATCAATGATGATTGACATATTTGGCCATTCTCATTGTGCGCTTTGTTGAATAATAATGGGTAGTTAATAGGCAATCTTACTTGTCAGTGCCCCCACAGGGCAAAAAAGAATTTAAAAAAAAATCACAAATGTTTTGTTTTGATTTATTTTAACAATTTACAGCAATATGTGGTAAATGTGATATATGGTATGTTATGATACAGAATTTTGGCACTTCACTTTGTTTCACTGTGGGTATACTCAGAATCAGAAGCATTAATGGTATGTTCCCATTCAGAAGAAGACTCATCATCTGAATCATCATCCCACAAAGCATTCTTCACTTCTGTCAAAGGCATTGCTGATTGAGCATTTCTTGAATGATTTAATGACTACAGACTCATTCATATGATTCCATATGGCCTTAATCCATCTTCAGACAGTTGGGGCAGAGACGTACCAATTTTTCATGAAGATGTACAGTACATATAAAGTGCACCTTCTAACCATATCTTGTATACAATTGTCACATTGGCATTGGGTGGTTGCAACACCAATGTCATTCCCATGGGATTATTATCAGTTTGGTCTTTTGCTTTGTAATTTCATTTTTTACTCATTTACATCAACTCCAAATTGTCATGAAGCTGCTGTATTCCCAATTTTCTCTGCAGCAAAAATGACTTTTTATCTTGTATTAAGCTGGTAAAATAAAATGCTTATGTTTGTCTTTTGCTAAATTCATTATGCCAAACAACACAAACAAAAAGGGGAAACAAAAGGGCCAATGAAATTAACATGTTGGAATTTGCATTTGATGACGACATTATGTCTGGGCTGCAGAAACATGCATACTTCATATATTCAGGTGTAGATCATAATAGAATGCAAACTATGTTTCTGGAAATATGGTCTAAGAACTAGATTATAGTTATATTTGGTGGTGGCTTATTTTCATGTAAATATTGTATTATTTTACTACATCATATTAGAGTGGAAAACTTAAATATATTAATGTGACTGCAATATTTTATTTAATGCTAAATTATATAATTCTTAGTTTAAATGATTGGTACTGTAAATTGCTCTGGATTAAATGTTTTTTGTGTGTATTCTTTTTAAACTCATAAAATTTTCATTTAAGGTATACTGTATACTGAATGATCGTAATTAAAATATTCCTATTCAACATTGTCTGGATTTAGCAATTAAATCCAATATGGCAACATTTCAGGAAGTGTGAATAATAGTGTTGCCACCTTTTCAAAATTGCTGACCTGGACATTTTAAAATTGGATGTTAGTTATACTTAGAAAAAAAAATTAGGTTTTTTATTGTGAGTAGCAAAATAAACATTTTTTTTTATTAGAAGGTAAACATGTACATGATGAAACTGTATGAGGCATATGCAATTCATTTTACAGCCAAGAACTGAACAATGCACACACCAGTTTTAAATCAGTTAGGGACTTGTGTTGGAACAAACCTAATATTTGCAAGTTAGAATTTTAAAAGTACATTTTCTGTCACTTAGCCTAGGGATAACTGTGTGGGAGTGTGAAGTTAGTCTTTAACTGTTAAAATAAAACACTCACAAATATTTTTATAAATTTATTTTGTTTCATTATAATTTCACAATTTCTATGAAAACTGGACAAATTAATAATTAATCCGGACCATGAATTTAAA